GCCTGCAGAGGTCTCATCCTCATCCTGGCATGTCACACTGTGTAAGTGCATGCCGCCATATGTCCCAGGAGCCTGGAGCAGACCCGAGGAGTCATGATGGGGGACCGGGTTAGTTCTGAAATCAGCTCCACTATGGAGAGGAACCTGCTGTGGGGCAGGAACGCTCTTGCCACCTTCGCATCAAGGAGGGCTCCCACAAATTCTATCCTCTGGGAGGGAATCAGGGATGACTTCTCGACATTTATCATGAGCCCTAACCTTAGGAAGAGAGCTCTTATGAGTGATACATGAGCTTCTACCTGCTCGAACGAGCGACCTCGGATTAACCAATAGTCGAGGTACGGGAACACGTGTACCCCTCAATTGCGCAGAAAGGCGGCAACCACAGCCATACATTTTGTGAATACCCTTGGTGCAGTACATAACCCAAAGGGGAGTACCGTGAACTGAAAATGATAACGGCCCACCATAAACCGGAGGAACCTCCTGTGACTGGGCCTGATAGCCACATGGAAGTAGGCATCCTTTAGATCGAGAGTCGCGTACCAGTCGCCCATTTGTAGCACTGGGATGACCGAGGCTAAAGTTACCATTCTGAACTTGTGTTTTACCACCGCCTTGTTTAAGTATCGAAGGTCCAGGATAGGACGAACTCCCCCTTTTGGTTTTGGGACGACAAAATAACGGGAGTAGAACACCTTGCCCTGCAGATGCGGGGGAACCCTTTCTATTGCTCCTTTTTCGAGGAGTGCCCCCACTTCCTGAAATAGGATGTGTTCGTGAGGGGTGTCCCTTATTAGGGACAGGGTAGGGGGTTTTGAAGGCGGTGGGCCCAGGAACGGGATAGAATAGCCCGTATGTACGCTGTTCAGGACCCAGGCATCTGATGTTATTTGGGCCCATGCCTGGGCAAAACGGGAAAGCTGGGCCCCAAACGGGGGGCCAGGGTGGCAGACTGGTACGGGACTCTCGAACACCACGTCAAAATTGAGGCTTGCCCTGATTGGAAGGGCCGTGGGGGCCTGCCCGCTGGGAATCTGACCTGGGGCGACAACGTCAACCCCTAGGCCCTTGAGGGTGCGCAGCCGCCCCGGAACCTCCACCGGAGGCCCGGGAGCAGTAGAAATCCCCACAGGGGACCTGTGGCTGCGCTCTACCCTGCTGCCTATACGGCAATTGTCGCCGCTGCGTGGCTGGCATATGTATGTCTAAGGACTTCAAAGTTGACCTAGTGTCCTTTAGGGTATGGAGCCTGGAGTCTGTGTGCTCCGAAAACAAGGCCTTCCCTTCAAAGGGCAAGTCCTGTATGGTGTGCTGCACGTCCGAGGGAATCCCCGAGACGTGGAGCCATGCTCCCGGGCGCTGGGTCTGCCAGTGCCTCATCGGGGGAGGATGATGACGACGACTCCTGGATCAACAGGGGAGCGGTTGTGACCAACTGCGGAGCCGGTTGGACGTTCTGAGCTTCTGGAGAGCCTGTCTCCGGTACCGGTGGCTGCGGTGCCACAGGGTCCTGTTGCGGCACTCGAAGGGGGGAGGAGGCGCCCTAGACAGGGACGCAGAGGGGCGGGAACGGTGCCCTGAAGCCTCCGACCCCATAGATGGTGGTGGTTGTCCCTGCCACTGATGATAGTCCAAAAAGGCCACTGCGCATGAGGGGGCCACATCTGCTGGTTGTGGTCCCTCTGGTGCCTGGATCTGGACCTGTGGGTCGAGGAAGCTCCCGAAGACCCTGACCGCACTGACACTGCGTCCGAATAGAAGAGTAATCAGATTCAGGCCGAGGGGGAACCGACGAGGAGTGTGGTGCAAACTTGGCCATCGACTCTGGCTTGCCCGCGTGGGCGCGGCGAGGACGTGCCGTTTGAGGTACCGGGGGACCCATGTCCGGTGCCGTAAAAGCCGCTGATAAGTGCGGCACCGGGGGATCCAGGCCTGGTGCAGCGAACTCCGCTGAAGCAGTCAACTGTGGCACCGGGGTGCCCAGGCCCGGTGCCGGCTGCCCCGTCAGAAGCTGTGGCACTGGGGTACCCAAGCCCGGTGTCGTTTGCGATGTCATTTGCGGCACCGAGGTGCTCAGGCTCGGTGCCAGCTGCACCGTTTGTGGCACCAGGGTGCCTAGGCCCGGTGCCGGCTGCGTCGCCAGTAACTGGAGCACCGAGGTGCTCAGGCTCGGTGTCGGTTGCGATGCCTGGAGTTGCGGCACCGGGGTGCCTAGGCCCGGTGCGGTGCCGGTTGCGCCGACTGAAGCTGCGGCACCGGGGTGCCCAGGCCCGGTGCCGGTTGCGCCGACTGAAGCTGCGGCACCGGGGTGCCCAGGCCCGGTGCCGGTTGCGCCGACTGAAGCTGCGGCACCGGGGTGCTTAGGCCTGGTGCCGATTGCGTGGCCAGCAGGTATGGCACCGAGGTGCTCAGGCTCGATGCCAACTGAGTCGTGCCCGACTGAAGCAGTACCGGTGTGCCCAGGCCCGGTACCGGGGTAGACCAT